CAGCCAGAGAAGGCCAGGAAGCCTGACGGCTCCTGGCGTGTTACAGTAGATGCCGTGAGTGGTTCCCCTCCCTCGTATGAGCAGTGCCTTCGGCAGCAGATGTGGTGGCTCATCTGCTGGTACCAATAATTGTCTTTTGCACTAGGTTGGGGCCCTGCCTGGACTTATTTGTGTTCTGTTGTATTTTGTTATATTGTGATGTATTTGCTTTTGTGGGCCATGGCTGCATTGTTTGTGTTTGCTAAGAAACAAAGTTGTGTATGTGTGGATTATATGGCAGAAAACCCTGAGGGGGTGGACTGTAGGGTAAGGAAAAATGTCAGGCTTTTCTGCCCTCCCGCCATCAGGATAGATGATGGATCCTTGCGGTCCTGAATGCAGGCCTGATGGCGGGCACCTGGAGGAGGGTGTGGGCATAGGTAGATGGGATTCACCTGGGCTAAGACTGGGCTTTTAAGGGCGGCGTCATGGGGACACCAGCAGCAGCAGAAGCCGAAAGAGAAGCCGAGAGAGAAGCAGAGAAGCAGCTGCAGAAGCAGAGAACACCAGAGAGCCCAGATAGAGTGAGGATTTGCTGGGGGCTGGAGGCCTGCCAGCCTTCCAGCCCCCCAGCACCTCTGCCTGCCATATGCCTGGTGAACCCCAATAAAAGACCTGCAAAAACCCACTGAGGACTCTGACTCCTCCTTTACCCGGTCTGCTGGATCAGAAAACCTGCTCAGTGCTCCAGTCCTGCCTTTACAGCCGGAGAGCCCAGACAGAGTGAAGACTTGCCTGGGGCTGGGAGGCCTGCCAGCCTTCTGGCCTCCCAGCACCCTTGCCTGCCGTGTGCCTGGTAAATCCCAATAAAAGCCTGCAAAAGCCATTGAGGGCTCCAGGACTCCCTCCTCCTTCACCCCGTCTGTTGGATTAGAAAACCTGCTCAGTGTCATGCCAGCCTCTACAAATTGGAATCACAGGCATTTCTGCCCATTGCTCATGAGACTTTGAAGGTGCCACTTTGAAGTGGCACCTTGAAAAAGAAGCATTGAACCTGGGTGAAAGAAATTGGGTTGTAGAGAGAATGAGACATCGTGAAGGAGATGGCTGCATGTGGAGGCCATTGAGGAAGTCAAGACTCTTTTGAGTGCACTGGATCCCTCAGCCGGAGGGTGGATGGTCCAGCCCACTGAGATCTCTGTGAACAGAGGCCCAGGTCTCCCTATAAAGGCTTGGAAACTGTTGTATCACTCATGTTCTAACCTATAGCATGAAGGATCTCATTGCCATCCCCAAACCTGAATATAACTTCTGCCTTAATGTCATGGCTTATATTAGCCACTGGATATGTGTCCTTCGTATATTCATGTATTAAAGATCACTCCAATATTAATCCCTCGTTAATATGTGTGATGTGCAGATATCTGCTTCAATTCATTAGGGTGGTCTTTCATTTTGATGACAGTTTATTTTGCTGTGTAGCACCTTTTTGGTTTGATGTAGTCCTGTTTGTTTACTCCGTTACTCTTGGGGTTGAGTCCCCAAAGCCATCTCTAAGGTTAAAGTGGTGAAGTATCTCACCTGTTATCTCTTAATTTTATAGTTTCAGGTATTACATTCAAGTTTTTAATCCAGCTTTGAGTTCGTTTTTGTGTATGGTATGAGATATAGAGTGATCTGGTTTCATTTCTGTAAGCATGTACCTGTCCAGTTTTCCCAACGCCATTTGTTGAAGAGACTGTCCTTCCTCCATTGTATGTTCTTGGCTCTTTTGTCACAATTAGATGTCCATATACACTTACACTGATTTGGAAACAGCTCATGCAAGTCAACAACAGCAATGAAAACAAAGTGATTGAAAAGTGAACACGGGATCTGAATAGACATTTCTGCAAAGAAGAAGTACAGATCAACGGTCAATGGGCACATGAAAAGATGTTCATCATCTCTTATACAGGGAAATGCAAATCAAAATAAGGAGCTATTATACCCTACTCATGTGATAATGGCTATTCATCCCACAAGACAAAACACAGCAAGTGATGGAGTGGGTATGGAGAGAAAGCAACCTTGTACACTATTAGAGGGAATGTAAATATCTATGTCATATGGAAAGCAGAAGGGAGATCCCATCAATAAATTAGAAATAGAAATCCCATATTATCTAGTAATCCCACTTCTGGATACTGAACCAAAGAATATGAAAATGCTAACCCTAAAAGATATATTCACCCCTTGTTCACTGCAGTATGATTTATAATAGCAAAGATTTTGAAAAAATTTCCATCCACAGAAGGCTGGATCAAGAAGAGGTGATATATATACAGTGGAATACTACTCAGCTATGAATAAAGATGACATACCACTGTTTGCAACAAGGATGAACCTAGAGGGTACTGTGCTTAGTTAAATAAGGCAGGTTGAGAAAGACAAACACCTTGTGATGGGTGGTACATAAAGAAATAAATGAATGATATAAATAAAATAATTTTTTTTGACTGTAAGATCAAATTACTGGTTACCAGAAGGGAAGCAGTTAGATAAATCAGGAGAAAAGGATTACTTGTATGGTAAATGAGGGAATTGGAATTTTCATGGTGAACTTACTGCATTATATACAGATGTTGGCTGTGCACCTGAAACCTATATAATGTTACAACCCAATGTTACCTCAATAAAATATTTTAAACAGATCCAGTTGATCCCCAGCGTTGATGCGTGTTTTTCTGCTTCGTCTCCCGATGTTCCATGTTTCTGGGGATAGCTCATCCTGACACCCTACATCATCTTTTTGTTCACCAAGACCATGGAGTAGAGTCTGCAAATCAATAGTTCATTGTGGCGTACAGATTTAGGGAAAGGAAATTGGATTGGAAGAAAGTCTGTTAACTGACAAGCTGGAATTCAGTCTGGATTGTCTCAGAATCCATCAGTATAAGAGAAAAAATCATGTTGAGTAATTTGCAAGTATGAGTGTACATGCTTTTTCTCTGAAAAACTTTGTGTGGATTAGAGAGAAAAGGATATCTTTGTACCAAGCAATTTTCTTAAGAACCCATTTCTAAAGTTGTATAAATTATAGATTTTCTGGCGATATATGCACATATATTTTAAAAATACAAATTGATTTTATTTTTAAACTTTACTGTGATTTCAGAACTTCTGGCATTCTAAGTAGGAACATCTCCCTTGAACATGGGGGTAACATCCCAACCCTTTCTTGGATCCAAAAAGATAGAAAAATGTAGATGGATTTGAGAATGGAAGAAGAGAAAACACTGACAGTTAAATCAGTGGGTTGAGATATGAGGTGGCAAATGATTTCCCCCCATTTTTGTAATTATACCATTTGTGTGGCTTTAAGATTTATTTATTTATGCATATAAGAGCTGGGGTGTAGGCCAGTGGTGTGTGTGGGGCGGGGGGTGAGAGGAATCACCAGAGACAGAATGGGGAGCAGAACAGGTTGGATCTACTGAAATACACTGCTGAGGGAAGCAGCAGGCAAGACAGGAGAGGTCTGCTGCACCATGTGAGTAGCTCCCTGGCCGGGGATCAAACTCGTGCTGCAGTGCCTGCTGATCGCTTCATAGTGCTGGGACTTAACCCCTTGTGCCACCAGGGAGGCCCCATTTGTGTAGCTTTAAAAAAAGAAATCTCAGAATAAGAAGGGAAGCCTTTGGAGTGTTTACTTCCTTAAAAGAAAGGTATTTTTTTAAGATTTATTTATTTATGCATACAAGAACAGGGGTACAGGCCAGAGGTGTTGGGGGGGGGCTGGTGAGAGGATTCACCAGAGACAGAGCAGGAAGCAAAACAGGCAGATCTACTGAAATACACTGCTGAGGGGAGCAGTGGGCAAGACAGGCGAGGTCTGCTGTGCCATGTGGGTAGCTCCCTGGCCGGGGATCGAATTCGTACTGCAGTGGCTGCGGACAGCTTCATAGGTTGCATCTTAACCCCTTGCACCACCAGGGAGGCCCCAAAAGAAAGGCATTTTTTAAACTCTGCTCTTCGATCCATCACTTCCCAGTGAAATATTCTTTGCTTGCCCCTTAACTAGAGAAACATGAATTATTTCAGGTTTTCCAGTTTGAAGTAGCTAAGAAAGGTTTTATAATCAGAAAGACAAGTTATGGGAAATGGAATCTTCTTTTGTTATCTGAGAGTTGGCTCCCTGCAGAGACGTGCCCAGCAAGGCAGTGCCAGGAGATCAGTATTTCTGTTCTTGAAGTCTGTAGGTGCCACTGCCACAGCCGATAGTGATGATGATAAGTGATGGGGAAATGGACTGGGAGGCAATGTTGCTTCCTTGACAGCTTGAAAGAATTGCCACTGGCAGCCCCAAGGCAAGGGCCGAGGGAGGAGATTCTGGCGCCTGCATAGGTCGCTCTGGCACGTTGGGGAAAGCTGTTAGAAAGAAGCAAGGGGCAGTGCAGTGACTGTGGTTTAAATCTGGCCTTGGAATTTGAGCCTCTTTTTTTCTCAAGGGGTGAACTGGAGGTGGTGCTACAGATTCTGAACTCTCCGCTACTGTTAGTGAGCTGGCATCTGTCTAGTACATGTGTTACTCTGCGGAGAGCCGGTAATCACTGCTCCAGGCACAGCATCCACCGAGGTGCCCACAGTAAACGTTTGAATCTGGTTTTCCTAAGATTTCCAGACTCACTCCCCATCCCCTTCTGCAAGCCATAGGGTGTGGTAAGCGCTAAGTGAGGGCTGTGTCCTGCCTTACATTGCTCAGTTTCCTGACCCCCAGCTCCTGCTTCAGCAATGACAAGCAGGCCTAAATGAGGTGAATCAAAGGTCTGTGGGGGCTCTTTGGGGAGCCCCTGGGGACCCTGGAGGAGCTGCTTCTTGGGTTTCTGGAAACCCAGGCTAGGGACATTCCCAGTGAGGACATGTGCTTGAAGGCGGCACTCACGCCAGTTACCTTCCTCATTTTGTTTGTTGAAATAGAGTTTTGGTTTTAAAACAGCTAACCATTTTTTTGTCTTCTTTTCTGCTTCTGTCTTATGCAGGAGTTTATTAAGTATTTGACGTGAATCAAAATGTGCAAAGGAGAATAATGGAAGCTCCTGAATACCTCGATTTGGATGAAATTGACTTCAGTGATGACATATCTGTGAGTATCACCTGCAGTCGATGCTTTGGGAAGCTGTGACTTTTCCTGCAGGGGCTACCTTCTCTCTGGTAGTCTGTATACTAAACCCTTGCAAACAAACTGAGAGCAGAGATCCCGTGAGGCAGATCAAAGGAATCTTAGGGTTTCCCGGACCCAGAAACAAATGTCCCTGAGTTATATGTGAGCTGAGCATCTTGTCAACAGCTTGTTTCATTGTTGTCAAAGTTATTCAGTGAACCAACTTCCAAAGGGCCTGTACACAATTAAGCACCCTCACAGTTACTTCTGCATGCAGTTAACTCTTCGATGTTAATTTCCTTTGATACAACTGGCTGTGCCACAGCCAGCGTTCTCTTGAGTTCACAAGGACACAGACTGAACGATGACCAGGTTATCACTGCTGAGCAGTGAGAGGAAGCGTTCCAGGCACTGCAGGTTTGAAAGCATAGGTCAGAGCTTGGAGGGAACACCGAAGAATAGTCATATCTTGATAAGGACTGACCCAGCTGCCCTCGGAAGTTCTGCTTAATCCTGTCACTGAGGAGCATCTGTATTTCCCACCACCGCCCCCATACACTGTCTGCCTGCAGGTGGTTAACTGAGCTGCTCTGAATGGACCTTCTCCATGCACCTGGCTCAGAGCCATTTGTGACTGAACCCAGGCCATGCATCAAGTGTCACCACAGAGGCCAACCAGCGAAGGTTAGACCTCTCATTCTCCCCAGCCACACCCAGGCTAACTCTCAGAGTCTGTGATGAGAAGCTTACTGCTTCTGCTCTTTTCCTAAAAATTCATAAACTTTTCTTCCCAGGACCTCCAAGATCCCAGTTTCCGACCTGGCTTTTTTTTTTTCCATAGATCTCTCAGAGCCTAGAGCTTTGAGTCACCCCTAGAAACTGTCTCAGAAAGATATGCTGATGAACCTGCCTCCAGCAAGGGTGCTTTGCTCCACTTCACTCCTTTGAAGTAAAATTTGCATACAGTATGCAAGACTTGGATTACTGGGATGAATTTGATGAATCGCCTATTCTGTATAAGTTTGGATGAATCCTTGTACCCAGAAAATGTGAATTCAGCCTTTTCCTATTTCCACTTCCAGATAATTTGTATTAATCCATGTTAAGAAGAATGGGAAATGAGTATTTTCCTTCCTGTCTCTCTTTTTAAATTGTTTTAAAAGGTTAGAGCATGATTCTTTTATACACCCGCCACTCAAGGTATATGGAGCTGGGGAGGGAGGGGAAGCAAAGATCTGTTAGAGGGCAGGAGGAAGGGTACCCCATGACTTGTCTGCTCTAAATGGGTTCTGCTGTCCTCCACATCAAGACAAAACATACTATAGTGCATAAGACCTTTAATGGACAGGAGCTTTAATATAATAGTGTGCAATAAAGAGAAGCGAATAGAAAGAATAGTTAAAATAGTTTCCGTATGAAACACCCAAAGTTACCCCTTGCGGGTAAATGCCCAGCCACACAGGTAGGGCCAAAGCAGAGCCACTGAGGCCTGAAAGCATGATAAAGTCCGAGGCACCATCTGGTGGGGACCCATAGGCACGGGGCAAGAAGGGGCCAGGTCAACCTCCCCTGGGTCTCTCACCCACGTCTGTTTCGAGTTTCCTCTTCCATGCTCTCCAAGTCCCTGGTGCAAGTCCAAGGTCAAGAAACAAGGGCAGCTTCTTCACATGTCCTTCTGCTCCATGTGCTTCCTCCAGGTCTCCTGGCTCCCTTTCATCCCTTCTCCCTGACTTCTCTGGCTTCTCTCTGCCCAGATCTACCCTCCCTTAGGGGAGCAGGGAACCTGGAAATTCCTCTTTCCCTAGGGATTACCCTGGTACAGAGCAAATAATATTACAGGGAGGTATGTGTAGGGTGTGTGGGGAAGTGTGTCTAGGATGGAAGGTGTTTTAGAAAGAAAAACGTTTTATGGTTATAAGTTCGTAAACAGTTTCCTGAGTTTTGATGGTAAAGTTGCATTTTTTTTAAACTATTTATTTATTTATACAAGCACTGGTACAGTCAGAAGCGCGGGAAGGTGAGAGAATTCACCAGAGCCAGAGTGGGGAGCAGAACAGGCAGACTGACAGAATACACTGCTGAGGGGAGCAGCGGGCAGCAGGAGAGGTCTGTCGCACCATGTGGGACTCTGGCCAGCGGCTGGGGATCGAACCAGTGCTGCAGAGGCTGCGGACAGCTTCACAGTGCAGTACTCAACCGCCGCACCACCAGGGGAGGCCTGGTAAAGTTGCATTTTCAGGGTGTAGACTGTGAAGGACAGCTTGGGCTCCTACTTATTCTAATGTTTGCTCACTGGTGCCCACTCACTTCATCTGTTTGAGATGACTTACTAACTTTTAATGTCGTTTTGAGGATTGAGTGAAATAATATATGTGAATCACTTAGCTTGGCACAGAGTAAGTTGCTCTTAAAAATGGTAGCCGTTGTTATTATTTCAATGAATAATGCAATAATATTTATATGACCGATGGTGAAGAAAAAACTCAAGGGAAAAGGCCAGGCATCATGTCAAGACTTTTTTTTTTTTAAGTACAATAGTGCGGTTGTATTTACAGAAGAATCATCTGGCGGCAGCCCATAATTTTGATGAATTAGGAGTCTCCACTTGAAAGATAATAAAATATCTTATGCAATAACTGAAATGGTTTAGCAAATTGGGATGCAAGATTTTGCAATAGTGAAGCTTCTATAACTTGACCATTCTGAAACATCAAGATATCCATCTGTAATTGTGAAACTATACTGTAACCTTACCCCCTGGAACTCTATTTCAATTATTTGGAGTTTTAACCTTCATTTAAACTTAAATCAGGGCTCCCTGGTGACACAAGGGGTTAAGACAGAATCTATGAAGCTATCTGCAGTCACTGTAGCACAAGTTCAATTCCCGGTCAGGGAGCTACCCACATGACACAGCAGACCTCTCCTGTCTTGCCCGCTGCTCCCCTCAGCAGTGTGTTTCAGTCAATCCACCTATTCTGTTACCCACTCTGTCTCTGGTGAATCCTCTCACCCCCCCATACACACCTCTGGCCTACACCCCAGTTCTACTATGCATAAATAAATAAACCTTTAAAAATAAATAAATAAACTTAAATCAGAAGGGAAAAAGTAAAATTGCATAGAATTGTTGAAACCATAATAACGGTTACCATTTATTGAGCACTTTATATGAAATTGGCATTATCCAGTTTATTCCTTGAGATAATCCCTATTAAGAAGGCACTATTAACATCTTCACTTTAAAGTTGAGGAAACTGAGGTACAGAGCAATGACCTCACTTGCCCACGGTGTCCACTTGTGCAGGGTCACCCAGCTGGATGGGAACACATTGTCTCCAGAAAATCCACCTGTTAGCTGCAATATGTGACTGCCTTCCAAGATGAATACATTCTGTGGGAGGGGTCCTCAGCAGGGCCAGCTGCACCCTTCCGATGAACATCTGTCAATACCTGGAGACACTTTTATTGTCCTAACCGGGAAGGTTCTTCTGGCATCTAGTGCGGCGAGACGAGGGATGCTTCTAATTATCCTACAATACACAGGAAATCCCCCCCACACACTGAATTAACTGGCTGAAAATTTTGGTAGTGCTGTGGATGAGCAGTCTGGTCTATTTTAACCCACTTGAAACTAAAGAAGCTGTCCTTTGACTAGCAACCTCTATAATATGGTAAATTATTTTGTAATAGTTCAATCTGATCTAAGTTCAGAACTTTAAACGTGCCAGAAACTGTATTGTTCTTACATAATGACTTCATGGGGAAAGCATGGAGATAACCTCTTAAATATTAAAATGACTGTTCTCAACTTATTTCAGTAAACTAGGAGTAATAAATGTTACAGCTGCTTTAAGGGCTAAGTGGAGACTGTGCAGATGCTAACCCTGGAAGGAAGATGTGTTCAATTTGCTAATTCACTGCAAGAAGAAGAAATGTAGTCTCCCATAAACATGCCTATAGCTTTAGGTTTCTGTAAACATCCAGCTCTGACAGCCCTTAAGCCTCTCTCCTGGGTAAGTGTTGGGGGAGGAGCAGGAAGAAAATGCACATTACATTTGAAAAAGATGTTTACAGAAATGATGCCTGAGTTTCAAACTCCTCTTCCTACTCTCTGGTCAGAGCCCTAACTTGGTAGTCTAGCTTTTCTGTTTCGTGATTGTCCCTGCTGGTCATGTGCCTACTTCTTGTTTTAATTAAAACACAAGCTGTATATTGGTACCAAAACACAACTTTGTCTTTTTTGCCTTTACCCTCTGAGACAAAACACAGAAGGCAATTCAATTATTTTGAAATTTCCCAGACTCCAAAATAATGCTCATCCTTTGCAAAATGCAGACTTGAAACTATACATTCTTGTCACCCTGCCATCCAGAAGGGCAGCAGATTGTGTAATCGCTGCAGATCTGCGAGGGAGAGATGACAGCACAGGACACAGAGGTGCAGGCTAGGGCTCATGCGTCCCCGAATTTGGGCTGACAGATCTCTCTATTCCTGTAGATGCCAGATTCCCCAGCTCAGAAAAGAAAAATGGCCTGGAATACTATTTTACCAAAGAGTAAAATAAATAAGCCAGGGTATGCTTATTTTACGAAAGGCCAATTTGCACGTCTCAAAAATAGCATTATACACAGGACTGCATGCAGTGGAGGCTGAACTACCAGTGTACTGAGCAGAGATCGTCTCTTGTAGCCATGCCCTTCCTGGAACCCAAACACCAATTCTCTGTTGAAGCCTCACCTCCAGTCTATGAAACAGGTCTTGCTTTAATCCTCTTTGGCAGATGGAAACATGGAGAGCGGGGTTGTATGGCTTTCACAAGGTTACAGATAAATAAATGGCTGGGTCAGAATTTGCATGCAGAACTGTTTGACCAGTTTATTCTTCCCCTTCTGAGCAACTTGGCTGAGTAAAGAAATCTGGTCCAGTCGCTCTTCCCAGTTGATAGGCACCGAAGCAATGCCAAATAGCTTTTTAGAATA